CACACACACCTGCACTTGTGGCACTGGTAGCCGTTCTGGGGACACTGGGGACACACTTGTGGCACTGGTAGCCGTTCTGGTGACATTGGGGACACACCGGTGACACACACACACCTGCACTTGTGGCACTGGTAGCCGTTCTGGGGACATTGGGGACACACCGGTGACACACGGGTGACACACACCTGCACTTGTGGCACTGGTAGCCGTTCTGGGGACATTGGGGACACACCGGTGACACACACACCTGCACTTGTGGCACTGGTAGGTGTTCTGGTGACATGGGGACACACTGGTGACACACACCTGCACTTGTGGCACTGGTAGACGTTCTGGTGACATGGGGACACACTGGTGACACACACCTGCACTTGTGGCACTGGTAGACGTTCTGGGGACACACTGGTGACACACTGGTGACACACTGGTGACACACACCTGCACTTGTGGCACTGGTAGACGTTCTCGCCGCAGTTGCCGCACACGCCGGGGTTGGCGGGCACCGAGGCGCTGCAGCGGGGGCACTGCAGGGTCTCGGTGGATGCCTGGTAGTTCTCGTAGAAGTCGGCAAACTCGATCATCAGGTTGGAGGCCACGATGGGCAGGGGCAGATCAATCTTCACCTCCGTCTGCCCTGGTGTCAGCTGCACCTTCTTGGCCTTGTGCCACCGTGCCGGCCTGCGGGAGGGACAGGGATGGGGACAGGGATGGGGACAGGGATGGGGACAGGGACAGGAGGGAAGGAAGGAAGGAAAGGTTTTCCAGAGGGAAGTTCCCTCCCCGCCCACGTGTGAGGAGAAGCCAAATGCGACCGTCTCGGCTCCAAATCTCCTTTAACTGGGATGAATGGAGAGCAGCTCCAGGATTGGTTTCCTTAGCTTCTGTATTGACATGATATGGAGCCAGAAATACATTTTAAGCCTTTATCCTCTTCATAGAGAGAGACTGTTTGGGATTAAAGAGCTGTTGATGCCTCATGGAAAAACTTTAATTCTACAGACATTTTCTAGGGATTTTCACCTCCATTTTTTTATTAGTAAGGACATTTGCATGAAAACAGGATATTTATTTCTTAAAGATCTCATCTGCTCCCACTGCTTATTCTCAACCTGAAGTCAGAATCCTCTCTTTGTGACATCATAATCCTCTCCGCAGCAGCCACTTGTGATGTCACAGAGGATTAAGACTTCAAATAAGCAATAAGCGGCGGGCACAGATTAATCCCTAAGCCAGAGAGATCTGATTCTGGTGAGAACATCTCAAGAAGTGAGCAGGGGAAGCACATAAGCAGGACTGGCTCCAGACTGAGCAGCGTGCTGAAAAGGAGCCATTTGTGGTAGGTAAAGCAGAGCTCAGAGTGAGACCATCCAACTTCCCATTTTAATTCTACTCCGTGGCTCCAAACAAACAATGGCAATGCTTTCAGCATTCCTGGATGGGCTGCAAGGTCCAAATAAATCCCTTTTGGAGTCCAACTACCCATGAAGTGCTCCCGGTGTTATTGCTGCTTCCCACACAATTAAGCCAGGTGCTTAAAAGCGAGCCTGGACAAAGTTGGAACCCACAAATTTTATAGATTTTTCAAGCTTCAGAGGAAATCTGGATCTTTTCTTCAACATTTGTAAGGGATTCAGAACAATCCCACCCAATGTGGACTGAGAGTGATAAGTAACAGGCTAAGGAGGAACCTTGGGGAAGAACCAGAAGCCAAAATTTGCAGATTGCACACAAAACATGATGAACTCACTTGTTCTTCAGCTCCACGATGGCCTGCACCGTCCTGTTGTTGTAGTAGAGGTTGATGGTTCGCACCATCTTGGTTCGTTTCAGGTCTCCAATCTTCACTGTCACCTTGCTGATGGTGTGGCTGCCAATGAGCTTCACCACCTGCTGCGTGGTCGTGTAGCGTGTGTCCACCTTGATGGACGACAGCTTGATGTACTGGGGACACAGAGCAAGGGCA